CCGCTTCCATGGCCTACTCTCATATGAAAGGTGATACTTTCTCTTTGAGTTCGAGTTGTATGGGTCAGAGTCATCCGGGTTGGACATCTCATGTGTAGATGTGCTGTAATGACTACCGAATCTGCAACCTTCCACCCAGAAAGAACTCGGGCTACTTTTAAGTCACCTTTGGTTGTAGACGCAATGTAAACAAATAGTTTCATCATCTGCTCCATACTCCACTTGCCTCGATGCGCGACATCAGCTAAACTCAGTCCACTGTTTGATGCAGCATGCGTAGCAGCTCCACGGCGAGCTGAGTGTGTTCGTAAGCCAGGCGTTAATTGGCCACCACAGCTAGAGCTTGTTGACAATGCAGCTAGCACTTTGTTGGTGTGAGCGCTACCACACTCACCTGACTCGCTTATTGCGACTTGTGGGAAGACTCGAGACGACGGGTTGAATGGATCAGTGGCCAGCTGAGTAGCTAGACTGTGAAAAGGGTCTATCTCCCACATTAGCGCTGAGCAAAGTATCGATAATGACTGCTGTTCAGCCACCTTCTTGCGCACAATATTAATGAGAATTGCATCATTCACTCACAGAAGATCGCAAAACTCCAGATTTGTGATGTCTGATATTCTTCCAACAACAGCCCACTGAAAATTGATAAGTGTTCTATCCTTCAACGACAAAGTTGTGTTGTCAGCGAATAACCCCCCCTCCAATCAAACGAAGGTCTTCAGGTGTCATGAGTGGAGCTCTGTTGACCACGAGCCTGACGCCCTCAGGCAAGCGGTTGTAAAATTCTTTCTCGAGTGATTTACGCAGCTGACTGTACCACGATTTGTTATCATCAAATAGCCTAGTACAGGTCTTTCTCTCCAATAAAACTCGGACTGAGCTCATACAATCCAGACTAGTGCTGCACCCCAGGTCCTTGTAGACTAGTAAATAGTCAGCAAAACGACCAATCATGTCCTTTGTGATGTCTTCGGCCTTTAGAGAGGCGATCGTTAGCGGGCCTGGCCAACGATTGGTGAAGCTGTCTGATTCGCTCGCTCCATTATCAATGCCTAGAAAGCGGTCAAACCGCCGCGCAGCCAAGTCATGAGCAGCACGGGTACGATTATTTGACGAGCGGGCAGACAAATCTTCCAGCTCTCTTGCCTCCGTTTGACCTCGCGTGGGCCTGCTTTGCTTCCTCTGCTTTTGCTTTGCTCCGCTCGGTTTAATAAGAAGCGCTGATGCTCTGTTGCCCCGCGTGCTGTCCACTTCTTCTGCACTCGACATCGTAGAGCGCTTTTAAATTCTGAGCGCGACGCCTGGTTGGGGTTCGTTGTTAAGACTTGAGCTACCTTTGAGATTTAATTTTCGGAGCGACGTGTACGGATAATCGCCACTATCCTGCCATCGTCCGTTGGCTCCGTGCGATTGTGACGGTCTTCTTGTTTCTTCCGTTCACGTCAGGAGAAGGAGCGCAGGACGCAACACCGGCTTGGAGAGATGAAATGGGCCCAGATTCTTCAGAGAACACGGCTCGCACTTTATAATTTAAAGTTTGAAAGGCCCAATATTAAAGCTACAGCTTTGCGCGTGCGTGCGGAAAACCGCTCCGAGCGCTCTCTGTATTAAACGCCCAATATACTCAACTGAAGGTATTTGCAGTAGCAAATCCACAACCGCTCCGACGATCACGATTATTCACTACAGCTTGGCATGTACTGTAAGTAGTGTAATGAACCTCGGAAAGACAAAAATGACGGCTATTCACTTCGACTAACCACACGACAAGTGGGTGCGACAAGGGGGCCTGCAATGAAGTCTCCGAGGGCTAAGCAAAGGGACAAATCAAAGTTTTAGTGGACCAGCTAAACGCGAAGGATTTCGATGACTGTTCTACTGGTCATAGCTGTCGTTTCCAGAGGTTGTGTCCTCATGCTTTCGCTTTGTACTTTTCAGCGCATCCCAAGCTTTAACGATTCCGGTAATGTACGGCTTACGCTTGCGCTTACCATCGGAAAGCTGCTCAACAATCTCGTTCTCGACCTCTTGAGCAATTTGTTGTGCTTGTGCTCTCCACTTAGCTCGTGTGGCATCATCGCTTAACGATCGAAATGGTATGGGCTTACGGTCGCCCATAACCCCAAAAGCAATTACCATCGCCCGCTTGCATTCGGTTTGTGCTCGGTTCTTTCGATCGTATGGAGCGGCTTCCAGATCTTCCTCTAAGTACTGACAAATGAGGGTGGATAGAGATACCCCGCCGAGTTTGTTTAGGGTCCTAGGCCATTTAGGTGGCTGAAGTAGCTGCAAGGAATTCGATGCAATTGTACGTCTCTCCGGCTCAGTAATTGTGTTTTCTATCCGCTGCATAGATTTCTCAATAGAAGCTACGAGGTGCTCGTATGATGCCGCAAGCTTACTGTATGATGTCGCAAGCTGTTTGTTGGCCACGACGAGCTTTTCGTTAGTATCCTCCACCACCTTTAGACGCAGCCGAGTTTCTTCTGTCGCTCCTGCAATACTTTGCAGCGTTGGCACTGTGCCAACCAGAGTCTCCTTGAAAGTATGAACCCCAACAAATTGGGCTGCCCTTGCAGTATCTGTTAAACTATCTGCGACGACGCCAATCGGAAGTGACAGGACGTTATCTTGGACGAACCGTGTTCGCACAGCAATACTCCACTCACGAAGCAAATTAAGTGCGTCCTCTTCTCCACATTGACCATCATTCACGACACTCCTTACCACCGAAATTATTTTGCTGTGAAGAATGTGTGCTGGATACCGTCGATACGTCTCCTCAAAATACATAAGTAGCGAAGCCGTCAGTGTGAAGATGAACTTGTGTGGTTTCAGCCGATCCAAGGCTTTGTCAAAGAGGGAAAGTACAAATTTCTGCTGTAGATTCGAGTCGTTTGGGTCAGCGTCAGCACGGCTCGACAAACCAGGCGCTAGGTGGGGTGAATGGACTACCGCATCTGCAACCTTCTACCCAGAAAGAACTCGGGCTACTTTTAAGTCACCTTTGGTTGTAGACGCAATGTAAACAAATAGTTTCATCATCTTGTAGCGTGGGGCTCAGGTTGAAAGCCTTGCCCTCATTGCACTTTGGAGTGAATGCAAGTTGCATTTACTACCAGCTGGCAGTCCTTGCAGTTGCAGTTGCAACTACTAGGCTCGAGCCTCTGGCAGTGCCAGGAGGCTGTCCTGCTCGCTGTAGCGATAACAGGATTTGGAAACAGAGTAGTCTAGTCACTTTACCTTTTGCTTTCTACTCAGTAAGCAATACAATCGGCTAAACGTTCGGAAGTGCCAGCTTCCCTAACTGTGTCTAC